GTTTTCGCCAAAAGACAAAACCGAAAGGTGGTTTTCATGATGTTTTGATTGGAGAACCATTTAAATGCATTCAAAAACAATTCCCATACAAAAAGACTTGAAAACCATTTCGTTTAAGTAAAAACCACGGCTAGCCAAGTTTATGCCGTTTCGCGTGGTTTTTATCAAACGACAAAAAACGAAAGGTGGTTTTTGAAGTGTTTTTGATGGAAAACTATTTAAATGTGCCCAGAAGTAAAAACCAATCATAAAAAGTTGAAAACCACTTGGTTGGTTCGGACACCAAAAACCAACGCCGAAAACCGAATGCCGAACGCCGGTTTCTGAAACCCGAACGCCGGATGGCTTGGTTTTTGGTTTGGGCGAACACCAAGTGTTTTTAATGTTTTAAACATGTTTGAAAAACATTTTTATGATGTGTGAAATGCAATGAAAAGAATTTTAGCCTAAAGAGCCAAGGTGTAAAGGTTGGGTCGGTCTTGATCACAATTATGACCGACTCAACAGCACTAAGACTACGGTCTTCGTTCTTGGTCTTCTTTTGGGTCTTGTTCTCTTGCTTTCTTCTTATATTTATTTATCGCCTTGTATATTCAATAACTTTTCTCGTTCACGGCGGTTTGGCATTATCAAAACCTGTTACAAAAACGAACACGGCTTTAGTACGAAAACACGATAAACCCGTGTTTCAACACTCCCCACTCCTTTTCATAATCGGGTTTGAAGCCTTCTCCAGATTTCTAAACAACTCCATGGACTGCAACAATATCAAACGTTTCAACATGGGTAGTGTGAAGATGCCTAGTCACCTTATCTATGCAGATGACTTGATGATATTCACTAAGGGGGACATCCTCAACCTCCTTAAACTTAACAATATTCTTAAAGTTTATATGCAGGCATCGGGGCAGCAGATTAATCTTTCAAAGAGAAGGTTCTACACTCCCAAATCCACCTCTACGGATCAACAAGCCAGAATGGCAAGAGCTCTGTCCATGAACTGTGGTAGTCTCCCCTTCACCTACTTGGGAGCTACCCTTCGTAGGGGTATTCTTAAAAAAGAAGACTGCAATGGTCTTTTGAGCCATGTCTACAAACACCTCTCCTCTTGGTATAGCCGAACTCTCAATCAAATGGGAAGATTAATCCTCATAAAACGCGTCCTCTCATCCATCCCACTCCATCTCATTGTCGTTCAATCCCTCCCAAGATCCATCATCAGCACTCTACACTCCCTTATGGCCAACTTCCTTTGGGGCCATATGGATGGTAGGGCTAAATACCACTGGAGGAACTGGAACTTCACATGCCAAAACAAGAATGCAGGTGGCCTAGGGATCAGGGACCTTCTTCACATGGAGACAACATACTCTCTCAAACTTTGGTGGAAAGCCCAGCACGATCAAGGTCTATGGGCTAAACTTGTTAGAGCAAAGTACATGAAGAATGGTAACATCAAGGAACGCCTCCCAGATTCCCCAACTTGGAAGAGAATTTGTAGAGTACACTCTCTTGGTACAACTCATATGCATTGGACCAATGGACAAGCACTTTGGGATAATGGACAGTTCTCCCTCAAACTTGCCTTTAATGCCACAGAAGAGAAACTCCCGGTACTCCTCTCAACCAAATTTATTTGGCACAAAGCACAAATCCCTAAACTGCGTTTCTTCCAATGGAAGATCTTCAACAACTGTCTTCCTTTCCCCAACAACCTCAGAAGATTCAACCTGACACTACCTAGTCGTTACAGCTTCTGCCTCAACAACGAGGAAAGCTTGGATCACTGCCTCGTGAACTGCACCGAGAGCAAAAAAGTATGGAACTTTTTTGCACATCTAGTTGATGCTCCCATGCACACCTCAAACCTGCTGCTCCGCCAACATGCAATCTCATGGTGGGTAAGAGGTAATTTGAAAAGTTTCAAAGGTGCCTTGAGAATTATACTCCCGGGTTTCATCTCATGGAATCTAGGGAAGGCGCGTAATGCATATATTTATGATGGGATAAAAATGAATCCTCACGGAACTATCCACCAAATACGCAAGCTCATTCAAGCCTGGGCATGGACTCACCGGCAAAAGAAGTGGTTGATTCATGACAAAGACCTTGATGATTGGGAGATTGATAAATTCTGGCGGAAAGGAACAAGACATCAACTTCAATCTAATTTTTAGATAAATATTGGAAACTCAAGAATGAACTTTATAAAACTTGGAATATTATTTCTAGGTGAAATAAAGTTGTTCATAAATATATTGGACAAAATAATATTAGTTAGTAATTAATTATATATATATTTCCGTATATATATATATATATTACCGAGTAATATATATATATATATATATATATATATATATATATATATATATATTACCGAGTAATATATATATATATATATATATATATATATATATATATATATATATATATATATATATATATTGAAAATGGCTAATATCATTTTGGAAACTTATATCTCATTAAAAAGTAAGTTTATTTTTCTAAATGATTTTTGAAAAATGGTTTAAAATTATTTTGCAATTATTGAGATATAATTAATATATTTGGGAAATAAATATTTATAAATTCTGGAAATTTATTTTTCCGATTTATAAATGCATAAAATAGTTACTGGAAGTTGGAAATTAATTTTCATGATTTTTGAAATTTATTTCAAATTAAAAATGAATTTTGGAATAAACTTTGCACTAGGGGCAATTTCGTAATTCTGTGTTTCCTGGAAAATTATTTTCCAGTTTTGCCCCTGCCCGAAAGTCTCTTAATACATTTGGGATGACTTGGTAAAATTTCATAAGTTTTGGACCACTTTATGAATTTTTATGAATTTTAAAAAATATTACCAACATAGTATTTTTCTAGAATTGTCAGGGGCGAGCGCGGTTCGCCCGGTGTATGTATATCTCTATTGCTTGTGTGGATGTATGATATGCATGGTGGATGATTGTGGCTTTAGTTATTCATTATTGATGTAATTTAAATACGGCCTGCATGCCGTGCCTTATCTCAAAACTCTTGTTGTAAATATATTTCTCTCTCTTACCTCAACCGAGGATTCTTTTCTCACGTGGTGGTTAGAAGATAAAACGATTTGAAGTTCGTTCCAGGGAATCTAAAGGAATGGAGATAGCCTGAAGTCCAAGTGCTTGGAAGTCAGTGGGAGCTATCGTTTTTTTTCCTTTAGGGGCCAAAATAATTACACGTTTATTTACTGCGTATTTTGAATGCATGTGAATGTATGTTTTACGCTAGTAAATTGACACGTGCGCGGCATGTGTCGTAGGTGAGATCGTAATTAATATAAAATCCCTCAAAATATTAAGTCGGTATTGCCTTCCGGCGCCCGGCACCTTTCCGGCTAATGTGCACTGTCACGTACTCAGCCCTAGCAGAGCGTAGTACGGTGTATGTTATGCTGGTCACGGGAATCACTTAAGTGGTCATTGTCAAACGTTGGGTTAGACTTAACTGAGTCTCGGTCAAATGGATGGATGACTTAGAGGCGGGTTTTGTTGGGGTCACTATACTGACAAGTCGAATTACTTTACTCACTCATCGAGTCAGAAGTTGGGTCTCTATGACTTAATTGGGCTTGGCCCTAACTAAAGTAGTTGTGCATGTGGTACGTGCCAAAGCTAATCACATGGATAATGAAACGGTGTTCTGGTCCGTAAGTAGTATTGTCGTTCGCCCAACACAAGACCAAGAACTACGAGCGCGGCTCGACAGTTGGAACTATGTTCCTACCTAAATAGTTAAATTCTAGGTACGAACCTCAGGTCAACTAGAATTTAATTATATATGGATCTTGGCCCATTAAGAGAATCTCTAGGAGAATCTCCGAATCAACATTGAGGGTTGTTGGTTTGTTAAAATAGTGGGAAATAATTAATTAAAGGCCTAATTAATTATTTAACACGATAGATAACCTAGTTTGCAATTTCATTCTGTAGATGGCATCGAATAACACGTACAGTCATTCCATCAACCTGCGCTATATCCTCAAGAGCCAAAAACTCTCTAGGGAAAACTTTCTTGACTGGGAGAAGAACCTCCGAATCGTTCTTGACTGTGAGAGGAAACTCTACATCCTCGAAATAGATCCTCCCAAGACCCCTGCGGCTAATGCTCGTGCGTCCGAACTCACTTCCTTCAAGAAGTATGAGGACGACGCGCGAGATGTTAAGTGTATCATTATGGCCAGTATGACCGCGGAGCTCCAAAGGCTCCACGCGGACATGGAAGTGCGTCCTATGGTACAACGCTTGAGAGACCTTTACCAGGGTCAACCCCAAAACTCAGATATTTACGTTATCGAAGTCAATATGTCTAATTTCACCTCTTGGGTGATGGTTACCGGATGTGGTTACCACATCTGTACTTCAATGCAGAATCTGCATGAAGTTAGACATTTGACTGAGGGAGAAGTCCAGCTTAAGGTCGGAAATGGAGCACTTGTCAATGCGCTGGCTGTAGGAACTTATGTGCTATCTCTCCCTAGTGGCTTTTTGTTGCATTTAAAGAATTGTTTGTTTGTACATGCAATTAACAGGAATATCATTTCTGTGTCCTGTCTTGACAAAGCAGGATTTTCTATTAACGTCAAAGACAAGTGCCTTTCGGTTTTCAGAAATGATATTTACTATGCAACTGCTAAGATGACCAATGGTCTTTATATCTTAGACCTAGACGCCACTGTTTATAACGTAGACGTTAAGAGAAGCAAACCAAACAGTTTGAATCTCACATACCTTTGGCATTGTCGTTTGGGCCACATTAACGAGAAACGTATATCTAAGCTACGTCACTCTGGCGTACTTGATTCATTTGACCTCGAGTCTTATGATGTATGCCAATCTTGTTTACTCGGTAAAATGACAAAGGCTCCATTCACCGGTCACGGTGAAAGGGCGAGTGATGTATTAGGCCTCATACACTCTGATGTGTGTGGCCCAATCAACACTGAAGCTAGAGGTCGTTTCTCATACTTTGTAACATTTACTGATGACCTGAGTCGGTATGGATATGTGTATCTCATGAAACACAAATCGGAATGCTTTGACAAATTCAAAGAATTCAGAAACGAAGTAGAGAAACAGTTAGGCAAAAGTATCAAGACCCTCCGCTCGGATCGAGGAGGTGAGTACTTAAGCCTGGAGTTTGATGACTATCTAAAAGAGCACGGGATCCTATCCTAGCTGACTCCTCCCGGTACTCCCCAATTAAATGGAGTGTCTGAAAGGAGAACCCGAACGCTGCTCGATATGGTTCGGAGTATGATGAGTCTGACAACATTACCAGATTCTTTTTTGGGAAAAGCACTATTAACAACAGCACACACACTCAATCGCGTACCATCTAAGGCTGTTGAGAGCACACCATACGAGCTATGGCGTGGGACAAAACCAAATTTGTCGTACTTGAGGATTTGGGGTTGTGATGTTTACGTTAGACGACTCATGACGTCTGGTAAGCTGTATTCCAAATCTGACAGGTGTAAATTTTTGGGATACCCTAAGGAAACGAAAGGGTATGAGTTCTATCATTCGACCGATAACAAAATCTTTGTTGCTCGGAACGGAACCTTCCTTGAGAAGGAGTTTCTCTCTGCTATTTCTAGTGGGAGAGAGGTAGACCTCGAAGAAATTCGAGAACCACAAGAAGAGATCTCAATAGCAGTGGAACCCGAGCGTCAGGATTTAGTATCTCGACCGGCTCAAGTTTTACCACGTAGGTCAGACCGGATGCGTAATCCTCCGGTTAGATACGGCTTCCTTGTATCTAATGAAGGTGATGAAAGGTAACCATGCAAGGATAGGCAGCGGAATATAAAAATTTTAACATCCTAACATGATTATCTTGCTTAGAATCACGTACTAATTAAAACTTATAGTGAGTAAGAAATTTATACCTTTCTCCGTAAGCGGTAAAAACGAAGAAGTCGTAGGATGAACGTTGAAAGTGCAAACGTAACCGTTCAAGCGTCCGGTCTCCAACTTTGACACACGAACAACGCCAGAGTCTACCACAATCTTTATGCTAGTAAAGATTATAGTAGTATAAAATATAAAGATTAAAATTGGGATAATAATAATCTTGTATATTTCTTATAGAAAATATTTCTAATAATATTTAGAAAATATTATAGATATTTTCTTTACACAAAATGATATTTATGGAACACAAAATAAGTGTTTCTCTCTCTAAAAATGCAATGGCTAAATTTTCAAAGATGGAGATCAAAGTGGCGTGGGGAAGGTACTTATTAAAACAAAATTAGAAATCAATTTTTGTCTAAATGACAAATCAATTAGCCCACTAAATTATCAATCAAAGAAAAATTTGATCTTTTAAATCCCATTTGGCCGAATGAGAGATATGAGAAGGATTTATAAAATTCTTCTCCACTTAAATGTTCAAAGTGTATTTTATTTGACTCCAAAATTAATTTAAAATTAATTTTAAATCAAATAAAAATACCAATATCATTTTAAACAAGTATATAAAAATATACTTTAAATAGTTTATGTCATAATAATTATATTCATAATTAAAATGACAAACCAAAATAAAATATTCAATATATAATATATATACATTAATTGGTACATATATATAATATATATAACCGAATATTTATATATATAATATTATATTCCAAAATAATTTATTTTACTATTTTTACAAATATACAAATTACTTATTATCCCATTGTTTAATCTTACTCTTTAAATTGTCCAAAGTGTGTGACCCGTATAGGCACTTATAAAGCTGGCCACAGTATTTGCTCTGCACCAATACTATAAGCAATAATCGGTATCTAGCAACACATTATTGCCCCCAGATTATAAGTTAAGACGTTTGCACCGTCAAAACCTTTCCACGACTCAGACTTCGTGTAACTGTATCCCTTTGTCTCAATGTCTAAACTTAATGCAAGGGATTAATAAAACTCAACTTGTATCCATTAAGTCATTCACTGATTTATAGTGTCTGACTCATAGGAACAGACGTCATAAAAACATCTCAGCATGGCCATGCAGTTTCCTCAGTCATGACTTATCAGTGAGCCCCATAAGACATTAATCTCTTAAAAAGAGTAGTGACAAATCCTATGTACGTAATCTACGTTTCTGAATACGCACTGCGGCATACCCAAAACAAAGCCTGTATACCATCCTTATTTCACATGGCTTAGGACAATGCATCAAAGCATGCGGGTTCACATATCCAGAAAACGTAATACTTGAAGTCGAAGGATAGTTACACCCGTGGTCGCGCTAAAGATGCTTAGAGCATGAACTAAAAGTTCAAGCAACATCTTTAGGATGGGTCAGTCCGGCATCCTATTATCTCCAGATGATATCTGCCCATGTGCGGATGCGAACACACCGTCATTGACTATGAGACTAAGTCAAACATCCAACACACACTAGTCTCACATGCATTAACGATATCCCACTCTCGTTAATACTCGACTATGGACATTCAGATAAATATTTATTTCAAGATGTTAGTCTCATCAGCAAAATAACACTATCTGATAAACATCTTTAAATATAAATCTAAGAACATAATATTTGTTTACAATAGCATGAGATGTGTAAACATATTATATCTGCCTATACATGATAGAATAATGATAAACAGTTGGCAATCAGGGCACAACTCCAACAATCTCCCACTTGCACTATGGCCAATCTGGCATCGGTCGAATGCCCATGGACCTAGTGTGACCCTCATGCTTTAGCTTTCCTAAAGGCTTGGTCAAGGGATCGGCTATGTTGTCTGATAAGTCCGTTTTGTACCTATCTTTTTACTCATATTTAATTTGTTCTTGTACCATTTTATTATCAAAACAATAAATTATTTATTATTTTTTATCAAAAACATATGTTTTGATGAATTGATCATAAAAAGAATGTCTTTGAAATAATATATAAAATTGGGCCAAGAATAGAGTAAAAAGAGTAAATTTTAATAGAAAAACAATTCTATCTCACAAACGGTGCAGAATTAGAAGTCGGTGCAGAAGGAAAAAGTGTTTAGAACGAGATTTTAAGCAGGATAGCATCGACGGACCAGGGCGGCACAGTAGGCGGCTTGGCTGGCGGCAGCCTAACCTGGCCGCCGGTCAGGATGGCGGCGACGGCGAGAAGATGAACCAGGCAGCGAGGGGGAGCGCTGGCAGTCTGACAGGCGACCGCATGTCTGCCCGCCTGTCGACGGCGACCAGCGATTCCAGATGGTTCCAGCGGCGCCGGCGGGCTGGCTGGCGGCCGCCAGTCTGCTCGCCGGTCGGAAATCCCTCCTATAAATGCAGCGCCAATCCTCCACCATTCCCAAGCTTCCAAGTGCGATTTTCCCCTTTTTAGGGGTGAAAATACTCCCTTTTGATTTTTAATATTGTATTAAAATTGTGTGGGTTCAATTTCATCATTTTAAGTTAATTCTCAAGTCTTTGAAGCACTGTAAGTTTTACTCTACTTTTTATTGTAATCTTTATTGAACTTTTTATCAATAAAATTTTACTTTGTTGATGATTGATATGTTTTTGAAGATTTTAATGATGATGAATGTTTTGTTTGATATTATGAATTGGTAATTTAATATGGGTTAAGATTCGGAATTAAGATTTAATCAATTTAATTTCATCTATTTATTAGTAATTGGATTAATTGTTAGAAAATGAAATAATCTTTATTAATTAATAAAATTGTTTTTATTATTAATTAATTTTTGGAAATTAATCATTTACTTTGTCTATGAAGTACAAAGATTAGTTAAGCCACACGTTCCGAACACCTAGAAATAGGCAGTGTTAGAAATAACCGTTTGGAATGGTTTAAACTAATTAATAATGTTAAACATTTTATTAATTAAGTAATTGGAAAATAGTTCTTGCCTTGTCTATGAGGATTTAGAATTATTTAAGCCAAACATTTTCTAGCACAGTACTGAGACCTGAAAAATTGGAGATGTACTGGAATTATAATAGTCTTATATTTAATATTGAGACCTAGAAATAGGAGATATATTAAATATAAGT